CTAATCAGATGTCTGATATACATAACGTGTTTCACGTATCCTCTTTGAGAAAGTGGATATCTGATTATGAAAAGAAATTGTTTGTTGGTGATGTGGAGTTCAAGAGAATCTGCAGTACAAAGAAGAGCCTGAAAAGATTTTGGCTCATGATGTGCAAAAATTGAGAAGTAAACAGATTCCTATGGTTAAAGTTCAGTGGAAGTTCAGAATGGCAAGAGAAGCCACTTGGGAGAAGGAATCGGACATGAGAGAGTTGTATCCAAGTTTGTTCTGACTTAGTTTACTTTGGGAATGTCGAGAACGACATTTTTCTTAAGGTGGGTAGATTGTGAAACCCTTAAAATTTAATTTATGTTTGAAAAAAAATTTTGTGCTGTTAGTACGTGACGAACCGTTTGGACGAACTGAAGAAATGTTGATAATCTGTATGGTTAGTACGGACGAACTACCAGTACGAATAGAGAAAATATGCATGTTCATCTAGACGAACCTGGAATCGTCGGGATGAACTGTCGGGACTAACCGAACAGAGAGCATCATCCAGGGATGAAGAAAATTGGAATTTAATTTTGTCTAGATGTTTTGAGTCCAGAGAAGGTCATCCCGGGATGATTGGACATCGTCTTGGACGATCCTGCTTAATAAATATTTGAATAGTGTCATTTTTGAAGAGAGAGAAAGCTGAGGAGAGAGAAAAATGAAGAAAGAGGAAGAAAAAGTGAATTTTGAGCGACTTCGACCCGTTTTCGCCGTAGTTGAAAAAGTTGACCGACTCGAGGTAAGGCACATTATGCCTTTCTCAACTTTGAAAAATATGATTTTTGACGGATTTTCTATTTCAAATTCATTTTTCGTTAGGAAAAAATTGGAATAACTTTGCACCGGTAAAACTTTTACCGCATAACTTTTGGCATGTTTCTGAGATAATGTTTTTGCACGTTTTGATTATTTTCTAGAAAATTTTTACCGGGTATTTTGAATTGTGCAATATTTTAATCAAATTATGAATTATCTAGATGTTGAAAAATGTTGCTTCAGTATAATGAAAGTCTTACAATGATGTTTTATACTATATGTGATAATTTGGTAAAATTCTGAATTTGTGAATTTTGTGGAAATTCCATATACTGTCGTTATGCCGCTAACAAGTTTTTTGAAGTATTCAATTTTTCTGATTTGAATGCTTTGATGTGCTGTGATATCAGAAGGGAGTTATAAGGGGTTGGAATCCTTTGTGATTCCGTTGTCTTGGTCTGGGAAATCTGAAAACAAATTCTGTTATGAAAATTCCGTATATCTGTTCCGTTCTGGTGCTTTAAGCACAAAGGGAGACATAAGGGGCCAGAATTCGTAGAGATTCTGTCAGTGTCAGGGAAGGGAGGCATTAGGGGTCAAAATCCATTGAGATTATGTCAGGGTCCAGGAATCTGATATATGTTATGTGAAATGTGCTTTTATGATTTGAATTATGTTATGTACGATTCTGTTTGTTCTGTGCGATTTCGTTGATTCTGCGAAATCTGACTTGAATATTATGCTATATGAATTCAGTTCTTTTGTATCAGCTGTTTGATTTCTGTTTGAGTATCTATATTCTGTCCGCTTATACGCTTATCTGAGTTTTGTATGACTACTCTTATGATGTATTTTGGTTGTGTGTTTCTGGAGATTTTGATTGGCTGGTGTAGTCTTGCTGAGCTGTTAGCTCATTCTTGTTATCTGCATGGTTTTCAGGTTCTGGGAGAGGGAATGAGGTCTTGGACTAGCAGTTCTGTGTCTGATCTGAGATTAGGTATTTTGTACTTTTGATTTTTGTACAATCATGGCTTTTCTGTTGTATTCTTTCTGTCTGTAGGCATGCACTGTATTATACATGATTCTTTTGATGAAAGAAGAAAATATGGATGAACTGCTATGTATATTTGGATGTTTATAGTAGCTCTCTGTTTTATGTATGGTTGCTATTTGGAAGAAAGTCTGAAGCAAATTCCAAAGCTAGATACTGGATTTTAAATTTTTGTCGCGGCCCGACGCGAAGGGATTCGTTCCGGTCGGGTTGGGTCGTGATAGGTCCATACTATGAGCCATCATCATTATCATCTAAAATTGCCAGTCTATGATTTTCTCACAAAATTGAGTCACCTCATTAATTTTTCCTCTCAAATATGTCATCTATTCTCCTAATGTTTTAGGAGCTATGGAACTCCTACTGCTATTACTGCTTCATTGTCTACCAAATAATTTAGGCTCATTGAAATCACTATCTTCCTCATCCTTCCCTGCTTGCTTAAAATCCATAATTTTTTTTGGGTGAGAGCTTGAATGTGGAATAATTATTCTTCATTCTGATCCCCCATTAACACCCACTGCTACATGAAAAAGCATATTTAAGAGAGGGGTGCCCTAGATGTGGTTTCCCTAATGATGTATACAAGTGATGAAAAAAATTAAAATTTCTACATCAATGGAATACCCCATTTGAATTGAATAGTTCAAAACGGCAAGGTTGCAAGTAACTTCAATGATATTTTGATTTTGACTAGATAAAAAATGAACATAAATTAAATAATACCAAGCTTTGAATGTTTTGGTCAAATAAGAGGCAACGAAATTGATGATTCTACTTTCTTTCTTTTTTAATGAGCTATACTATTAGGTCCACACAAAATGTTCAGGTTGTCTTTAGGATTTATAGGTGCATTAATCAATCAAATTCACAGTCCTTAAGAAGTCTATACATTTTGTTAATGGCTACTGAATCAAAAGGGATCCACTTACCCTGAACATAACATTTATTATTCAATGCCTCTTTTCCATTTGCAAAAAAATTCTTGGACAACATTAATAATAGAAGCAAATGGCACACTTTTTTGACTTGAATGAATGAGTACTGTAGTGTTCAAACACTCAGTGCTGCAGCATTCTATATTTTTTTCACCAATAATTTTTAGATCAAAGCTGTAATTATTAACACAAAATAAAATGCAAACTTATTTAAGGCAACAACAAATGCAATAATGAATAAACAATTATAAACAAATAAAATAAAGGATATAAGTAAGTCTAATTATGTAATTAATTTAATAATATAATTAAATTTTGTAAAAAATAAAACACTTCCCTAGCAATGTGTCAAAAACTTGATGTGGGCTATGGAGTGCACTTTTGAGTTGTTAAAATGTTTAAGACTCTATTTCTCCTAAACAATACTTAGATTTTCTTTGATATATAAAAATAAATAAACCTCACTTAATATATGCAAGTATACATAAAAAATATAATAATAAAGTGTTAGAGTAGAGTGTCAAATCCATAAGGAAATATGCTTTCTAATAATCAGCTACTATCATTTACTATAATGACAAAATTATCCTGCCGAAATAAAAATGGTTGTTATGGAGATTCAATTACTTGATTAAAATTGTAGAAATAATGAATACAACATTTAAATAAAGTGTTTTTGATTGATGAATATAAATTGCATATCTTTCCTAATAAAACTCTTATTTGTAAATGTGATTTGAGGCATATGCATCCCTAGATCTTTATCGAGCATAAAGGGTGAAAATGATATATGCTGACCTCCTACAATTATATTATCTACTTAAGAATCTAGCGTATTTTATATCCTATGTCTAAGTATGCAAATATATTAATGCAATGTTCCTCATTGTTCTTGTATTCCTTTATCGAACCTATACATCACATTAGGTTTTAAAAACACAAATGTCCATTATGTGTATTAAATAAAGATAAAAAAATTAAAAATATTAACTTTATAGCATAAGAATTTTCAGTAGTATTTAATATATTCTATACATCATCAATCCAAAATAAGATAATTAATCAGACATGGAAGAAAAGATCAGCAAACTCATTTTTATTGAATTCATAAAATAATAAAAATACAAGAGAGTGATATCTCCAGTGAGGATCAATGTATCTCCTATATGTCCTTCTTCCTTAACTATGATACAAGAGAGTGATATCACCCATTTACTATATAGAACCATCATAGCTCGCATACGAGCTCGCTATTATGGTTCAGACTGATAATGCCTTTGGTTGGGGACAAAATCTGTACATGATTTTCCACTTGGAGAGAAAGAACTCCAGGTGATACATTAGTAAGTACGATCCCGTTCTTTGGCGTGGTGGAGCAGGGAAGTCTCATATCTTTTGTTTGGGTTGTGGGTGAATAATGTTATTGCTATTTGTTTGATCCCTCTTTTTGGAGTGGACATTGATCTTCCTTTAGTTGCAAATTCCCGTAGGGGTTTTAGTTGTTACAAATTATCAATGAGTTTTTTGGGAACTTTTGGAAATTTTAGTTGGAATGAGCCCTTTTGGAATATTTGTAACCATTTGGTAATCCAATTTGTGGTTTGAACCTTCCAACGATGCTTTGAGTCTTTGATTTGGACTCATTTAGGCTCGTATTGAGTCGAATTTAGTGTCGTTGGGTTCACATTCTCGAGGCGTTTAGTTCGACTATAGATTTGTTTAAATCGGAGTTCAGATGATCCCAATTTGAATTTTGAAAGTTTCCAAGTTGATTTTGACTTGGGATTCGTGCCGATCATGAATATTTTTTGATGATGTATCAATTATGATATTGACATATAAAATAAATATGTGTTTTGTTAATAAATGAGCTTTGATATATAGGATATTTAATGAATTTAATTCTAAAAGTTAAAATAAAAATGATATATTAATTGATAAAATAAATAAAGTTTAAAAATATGTAATTTTAAAATAAAACAAGTTAAAAGCTATTTTTATAAATCAAAGAAATAGACATAAAAAATTAAAATATATACTAAAAATGAAAAAAAAATGTATGATTTATTTAATAGATAAAAATTATATTTTTAATTTTACAATTAATTTTGAATAATAATTTAGATTAACTTAGGAGTTGAAATTAATAAATATCACGATATATTTCAGTCTTACACGTTAATAAATTTAAATGAATTAATTCAAAGCTCAACTTTCCTAATTTATTTTTGAGGCCGTTACTCCCCTCCGCATTCTACTCCCCCCGGCATTCTCTATAAATAAACCCTAATCTCGCTTCCTAAGTTATTTCATCTTCCTTCCTCCTGTTTCTCATCTGCCCTCCCTTGTTTCCGTCTCTCAACTGGGTCTCCCATCTGCCCTCTGTTTTCCGTCTAGGTCTGGATATTGGCCCTCAGTCCGGAACGCAACCTGCTCACGAGATCGGCTCTCATTGCCGAAGATTCCCAGCTTACGAGATCGGTCCTCGATACTATACGGAAGACTCTCATCGCCTCTTCCTTCCTCCCGTCTACCCTCTGCCCTCTGGCTTCCATCTCTCAACCGGCTCACGATATTGGCCCTCCATGCGGAACTCAACCCGCTCACGAGATCCGTTGTTGTTGCCGAAGATTCCCGACTCACGAGATCGGTCATCGATACGATACGGAACTTCATTTATGCGAAAAGAGTAATCCTTTCCATCATTTACAATTTTCTGGTGCCTTAAATTGTTTGAGAAACCATTATTTCTACAAGTTTTATGAATACCAGTCATTGCTCATATGTTTGTAGCTTTATTTTTGTCCATTTTGCCCAAAGTCATTTATAGGTTTCTACCAAAGCTTTGCTCTCACGTGTCATATTCCTGTCAAATCTATTATTGGATACTTCTAGCAGTCCCGTTGATTCTCCTTTATTTCTGTTGCTTCAGGTTCGTGGGAGTAAACTTCATAACAAAGTCAGGTACATGACTGCTATGTCTTAACGGCTAATGTATGCTAGAAGCATATTGACTATAAGTACTTCTAATTATTATAACTAACTTGGTTTTGTCGCCAGAGTTGCTTTGATTGTTGTATTTTTACTAAAAAGCCTCCCACCAATATAAATTTAACTATTCCTTCTTAGGAATTTTTTCTTTCCATGGAGATAGCTACTATTCTTTCAAAATAGGTGTTAATTTTGTGTGAAGTTTTATATCCTTTATGGTATTAACGCAGCACACTTCAGTTTGAAAGCATAATTTGTAGTTTTTCTACTATTCTTGGTTAGGCGAATAAAGTTAACACTGCTGTAAATTAACCCATCTACATGCATCTATGGTTTCGAAATCAATTCCCTACTCCCTGTCTTAGTGTATTGTCGCTTATGTTTGAGTTGTCATTACACGTTGATCTGTTCCTTTTTAGTAATTCAACTGGTTTCTTTTTTCTCTGACATTAATTTCATTGTTGTACTATAGCTGCTTTTAAATCTTTAATTCTCTAACATGTGCTGTGAATATATATTCAACCATGGCACCACATTCTCACATCTATGACTTTTTTTCATTGTTTTATTTGAACATGTTACAAAATCAGATTACTGCAGCAATTTCACGCAAATAATGTTTCAATTGTTTCTATTAGTCCGGGTCCATGCTAATGAGGTCCACTTCCAACTTCTAATATTTTACAAGTGGGCTTAAGGATTGGTCTGAAGTTGCAAGTCAGCTCTTACTGTAAAGGGCCTCTGTCAAAATAGTGCTACATGCTTATGTTTACTCTCATATCCATGACTTTTTAACCAAATATCTTATATCTTGACATCTTGCTTGTCAATATATTTGGATACTCATTTCCAATTGAAGTCTTTGTTCGGATATTTTTTTTTCTTTTTATATAATGAAGATTTGTTTTAGAAGCCCAAATAATGAGGTTGTAACCAATTGTGGTGGATATCGGAGGGATCATGTCCATTAGCATGCCGAATCTATTTATGATGATTCATGATTACTTTATAGGTAGTATAATAGTTATACCGAAATTTGCTTGAAGATTATCAAGTGCTTAATTCATAGGAGCCCAAATTTTCTAAGATGGGCAGATTAATACAAAACACTGCTGTTCTTGTGCTATAGTTGGGAGTTGCAACTTGCAGCGTCTAATGTTTACCGAGTCATTGGTTTTGAGGATATTGCTACTGATTTAAGAATGCTGTATTACAGAGTTACTGCTTTTTCTATAGTTGGAATCACCTCTCTATTTTTGTATGTGCCTTTTTTGATGTGATTCTAATTGACCGGTCCAGCCGGCCCAGCACTAGGGCCGTCTCGTGGTTTATTCTAGACGGACCAAGGAAACTGTCGGTCCCTTTGTGGGGCCCATGGATTGATGGAAAATTCAAATAGGAGGGGGGCGGTTTAGTGGGGAATTTATTCTTGGAAGGGCCGTTTAGTAATTAAGGTTTTTTTTTGTATTATCTAAGTAGGAGGGAAATGGTTAGGGTTAGGGTTATGTATGTTTTTGCTGAATTTAGGAGTTCTCTAGGTTTGCTTGGGTTCTAGCCACCGTTTAGAGATTGGGAGAGCCGGATCTTCCTCTCAAATTGAAGATCCATTGTATCTTGCTTGTTTTCTTTCACTTTTCATCGATTATTAAGTTTCCCTATTAATTTGCCAATGAATTTCTCCAAATTTTTGCTTGTTCTTGCTGAAATTCCCAATTTGAGCCACTATTTTGGTGATTTCTGCACTTGTTCCCTAACAAATTTATTGTACATCCAAATTCTGACATTTTAGTAGGGGCGTGAATTTGTTGGCATGCGATTTTGAGCATGGTAGAAAATTTTGGTCCATGAAAACAGGCCTTTTGTTTTGTGCTGTTTAGTGATTTCAAGAATTTTTGGATGTGATTTTTTGATCTTTTGTGGTTATAACTAAAGATGCTATGGCATGCATACATCCAAATTAGTACTCAATGAGTGTTAATTTTTTTTCTCAAAATTGTATGTTAGTTGGATGCCAAATCCTAGAATGTGGGGCAAACATTGCTGAAAATTTTTGTCACAAGTTTTCTCCTTATATTGCCATTAGACATGAATCTTCTTTGGCAGCTTTTGTTTGTGTTATTTTATCTATCTAATTTATGATTGGTTTTGTATGTATTGGAACCGCTGGATCATTACGATCTACTGCTCAAATGATTAGTTATTAACTAATCTATAGTTCAGCAGTTATAGCAGTAATCCTACTATGTGGCACTTTCAACATTACTGAAATTATTGAAGCACAACAAAGTGTTTGATATATTGTTCCATTACTACCAATTTTTCTTCTCTTTTTCATTGTATAGTCTTTCTCTTTCTTTTATATAGGTAGCTATATAAGCTATATAAAAATGCCTTCTATGCATTCATGTCACATGGAAAGAAGGATCCAACAAGAAAGGAAATCATGATCCTATGAATGCATGCCAAGGAAATGAAGATCTTGTTGATTCATGCCCATGAATAAAATTTTGTACCTATTTGGGTTTAGCAAGCTCATTAGGAAGCTCTAAATTTAAAACATTTTGATGTTTTTATGGATGCTGGTATTTTTTTTTAAGTATAGACTAGCTTCATCATTTTCTTTATGGGTCAGTCTATATATGCCTTTAATCGAATGCTTTAAGGAATATTCTTTGATACTCGTGTTTTCCAGATTGTATTAAAGCTTTACTTCATGTATTCTAGTGCATTTGCAGTAGTCTTCATTTTTTTTTTCTTTTGAGAAGAAATGCTAAATTGCATTAAGTGAAACCTTGATACACACTACTCCATCAAAGCAACCTATCACATTCCTCCTTCAATAAAAGAACAAATGAAGGAGGAATATTATTATAACTAAATACATCCCAAAAGAAATTGAACTCACAAGCTAAGTTAGCACAATAATTGGCTAACTTATTACAATGTCTATTTATAAAATTAAAAAACACATTGCTGAAATTCTTCATGAATAGAAGGTCTTCATTTATTTGATCTTTCTTCCTCTTCTCCGGTATGTTATACAACTTTTGGAGAAAGTTGATTACGTTAATATTATCTCCCTCTATAATGATGCCACTAGCCTCAAGCATCCAATTTTGAATAAAATCCCTCAAGGATTTAAAAGCCAAGAGCTTGACCTGCGCACAATCCCAATGAACATATCCACATCCAAATGCCATTAAAAACCTGCCTTTACAATCTCTTACAACTCCCCCAATTCCAGCTTTTCTAGATTTACTTAGTGATCCATCAATATTTATTTATATTTATTTTTGAAGGTGTCCTTTCTAAGCACAAAAAGTCAGTATTGTTTGTATATTCTCTTCATTGTTGCTGCATCCTGTATGAAAATGCAACTCTTCTAGCAACTGCAACATTTCATGCAGAATTCATCGCCTTTCTTCCTTCTTGGTTTTGGTAGCACTACTTCCTGTTGTTGTTCCTTTTTTGTCGTGAATCATCTTGCTGTTGATTCTTTCTTGTTTTGGTCAATCATAACCTTCATTTTTGTAATTTCTCTATTGCAAATTGCTGCAACCATGACTCTCTCCTATGAGAATGTTTTTCGAGAAGCAGCAACAACCACTTCTCTATAGGAATCTATATCCTTATAAATCTAAATTGTGTCACCATGACCCTTCTGTTCTTAGATCTGTTTCCACCAAATATGTAAACGAGGAGGCCAATTGAGGTCTCAATATCAAGCTCACCTAGCAGTCACTTAGAGGCTTGATGGATACCCTGAGAAAAAAATATTTTATTATATGTTTATCATCTCAGGTAAGCCTTTATCCTACTATGTGGGGTTGGCTACATGAATCCTATCTCTCCATTGTGTTCCGTTAAAAATCTAGATCTAATAAAGAAATGTCATTTCTAGTATTTTCTAATATATACATTATATATATAACATTCAAAAAAATTTATAGTTATATTTATGGTAGATGTTATGATTTTGACATATAAAATAAATATCAGTTTAGTTAATAAATGGGCTTTGATAGGTATGCATATTTAATTAATTTAATTCTAAAAGTTAAATTAAAAATGATATATTAATTGATAAAATAAATGATTTTTTTTTAAAAATTAATTTGTATTTTTAAAATAAAACATGTTAAAGGCTATTTTTATAAATCAAAGAATTATATGTAAAAATTTAATATACATACTATAAATGAAAAATGTATGATTCATTTAAATAGATAAAACTATATATTTTTTAATTTAAAATTAACTTTGAATAATAATTTAAATTAACATAATAATTGAAATTAATTAATATCGCGATATCTTACAATTTTACGCTCTATGGTAATTCATCCGGAATTGAGATTAATAAATTTAAATGAATGAATTCCAATCTCAACTTTCCTAATTTATTTTTTAGTCCATTACTTCCCTCAGCATTCTCTATAAATACACCCTAATCTCGCTTTGTAAGTTATTTCCTCTTCCTTCCTCCCGTCTCCCCTCTGTCCTCTGGCTTCAGTCTCTCAACTGGGTCAGGATATTGGCCTTCAATGCGGAACTCAACCTGCTCACAAAATCGACTCTCATTGCCGAAGACCAGCTTACGAGATCGGTTCTCGATACTATACGGAAGACTCTCATCGCTTCATCCTTTCTCCCGTCTCCCCTCTGCCCTCTGGCTTCCATGTCTCAACCAGCTAACGATATTGGCCCTCCATGCGGATCTCAACCCACTCACGAGATCCGTTGTTGTAGTCGAAGTCGACTCACGAGATCGGTCATCGATACGACATGGAAGACTCTCCTTGCACACGAGATCGGCACTTGATGTGGAAGAAGGTAGAAGTCTCCTTCTCTCTCTCTCTCTCTCTCTCCTGCTTGGAGGCTGTGGTTAGTCACCTTCATGATTCTAGTTTATATTATGCATCTACTGGTATCTGAAAGGGTTAGAATGTTTTAGCATTTGCGCAAATCCTCCA